CAGAATGGGCCCTTCCTCCAAAGTCCTTGAGAATTTCACAGTGGTACTGTAACCTGCTAGCTGCTGCAGTTAGAAAAGGCTTTTTTTTTTTCATTCATGTTTAATTCTATACTTTAAACTGCTGCCAGAAAAGTCCATATGCAAACTGGATATATTCTTATTCATTGTATTTGTTCCGTATATGTGGTTAAGCCTTATCTGCTTCCTTGACTGACCAGAGAGTTTTCAGAATGGCTAATAGTGCACAGCCAATACAGCTCTGGAAGAGTAAGCTAGATTTTATTCTGCCTTTATTACAATGATGGCCCTATCTGATAAATTCTGATTAGGGAATCTTTATAACTTCAATGATCACTAATACAAGGGATGGATAGAACATGGTTTGACTTCCAGATTGTAATAAATGAAAAAATTCCTGCTGTCTTTAAAAGGGTTTGAGATCAGGGTTGACAAACAAATAAGTGGGGAATGTTACAGTGAGAGTGGCTTTTCTGTCAAAAAATTGGCCTCTAAACCTCATAAATAAAGTAACTTTGAATAATATATTTGAAGGAGTAGATAGGTTGCAGTTTTTCATGAAGCTTGCTGGGAATTTTTTAAAATTTAATTCTAGTCGATATAAAATTAATTGGTTTTCATAATTGTACAATTTTACATCTTCTGTACTATGCAGCAGAGCATAAATCAGATTCCACTGCAGTTCCCTCCGGCTCTGGAAACAGACTATTTAGCAGCTGGATGTTCCATTTTAGTTGAATTACATGCAGAGCTCTAGATGGCGATTAGTTTCTTCACCCATTTTTCAGAAGATGGGATGTCTGGGGGAGAATTATTTCCAGATGAAATAAATCCTATGTATCACACAACTTGATGACTTTTTGGTAGTAAAATTTCCACTTTTTCTAGTTTACGGCACAGATTATGGCACAAACTTTCTACTTTTTCTGGGTTATGGCTACAGATTTAAAACTGTCTAGTGCAGCCATGCAAAATGAGAAGGACAGGAGAGTTCTCTGCATTTTGCCCTGCCCTGCCCTGCCTGTACTGTTCACACAGGGACCAGGCAGAGTAAAAGAGTTAGGTGTTTTACTCTTGAGAAGGGACCAACGGGAGGGAAAATGTTCCTAAATATTTGTCCTGTGTGCCTGGTTGGGAGCATCTTTATGCTAGTTTTCTAAAATTGTTTTTTGGTTTTATGAAAAGGAAACTGAGCCCTGACTGAAACCAAATATTGTATCTGTCACTTCCCCTTCCTTCAGTTATGTATTCTAGCTCCAATTTATCACACTTCTGTTCAGCTAGTAGACCTCTCTTAAAAGAAAGGTAGTGGATAGTAGTGTATGTTCTGAAATGGACATAGAGCGCATTCACTGAGTTACTCAATTATGACCAGCAAGTTAATTTTGCTTATGTTTGCAAGGTGTTATGGGGCAGTTGAGGTAAATGCAAAAGTAGTACATTAACCTATTATATCATCTTGTCCTCATGTTTCATAAGCCTTTAGTGTCCCAGTGACCTTGCATGAATTACTCGTATTAACTTTCAGTTGAGGTTTATTTTCATTTTGACATCTTCCCCTTCCCAAACCCCAGTAATTTCATTAGGTGTCTCAAGCCAAGCTTCATCAACACCATTAAGAAAGCAACTAGAATATTTTTGGTACTGACTGGCTTTTTGGACATACAATGACAATTCTGAAAAAACAAGTGCATTCTCACAACTTGCTGGGGCCATTAACTGTAATTTAATAGGTCACTCCCCTGTTGAGAAAAGAACTTATGTACCAGTGTGCCCTTACTAGAATAGCACTTGCTCGGTTGCCTAAATGTTATCCAGACTAGAGACACTGTTCTTGAGACCAGGGCTGTCCTGACTGTGGACGGTGTTAACAGTACTCCGGACACTAGAGAACCCATGAATGTCCTGGAGTAACCTAATTGACTGCTCTCTTGAGCAGCTGTCAGTTCTACATATGGTTTCCTTGCATCTGAAGAATGAATCATAGTTCCTAATTCAAGTCCCATTAAATAAAAACTATGAGAAAATTATATACATCTGGCAAAATTTGAAGCTAGCCTCATAATTTTGGACATACCACAAGCTTCACTGGCTCCCCAATGATTGATGCAAGCCTAATTTTTCATTAAGTCCATCAACTTTTCATGTGATATAAGCACTTTTTGTACATGTGTACTTTAAAAGTACATTTTGTACTTTTAAATAACATTGTTCCTTTTGCTTTCTGCTTCTCTATTTGTTTTCCAACACATAATCTGTAAGTAAAGTATATCTGAATATACACTTGCATTATAAAGAGGTAAGCAGATATGCTGAAAGAAAACGTCTTTTGACTAATGTAGGTTATTTATAATTCGTGAAAAGATAAGGGAAAAGGAGACAGTAGTTTAACTATATTTCATATGGCCCTTCGTATATGAAATACAAATTTCTAAAACCTCTTATTGCAAATATTGAAGTATAGTAACGAGACCCTGGCACACACTGAAGGGTGGCGATGATCTTCATTTTCACTTCATAGTCTATTTGGTTTCTCTCAGCATAGCTAGTCAGCTTCTTTCTTTCTTTGGCAAAAGCAAATTCTAGCACTTGAGTTCTTGTGTCAATCTGCACATGTACTAATCAGAATTCAGTACTCATTAATGCAACACCAAGGTTTGGTGCACTTTCATGCAATAATCACTTTCTTGTGATTAGTTTTAATTTGCAGTTGCCATTTAACATGTAAAATGAGAAATCATTAGAATAATTGAGCTCTTGTCTGCAAGTGGTAGTGTTTGGATTTGGGTGTGGTCATCATTAATGCTTGCATTGGCTCCTGAAGGAGAATGTAGCATTTTACTTCACTGCAAAATTAACAAGCAAAACAGTGCCTGAAAAGCAGGGGTTTTTTCTGTTACTGATAGGAGAACCTACAAAAAGTTGTGCACCACTTGACAGATCATCAGTGATAATACTTCTGATAAGTTTATGACCCCAAATATAAATTGAGGAGCATTTTTAGTTGATTGTTTCATCTGATATTTTATAGTTTGAAGCACTGGTAAAGTTAAGTTTCATGTAGATTTCCTGGACATCAGAGTAGGGCCTTAGCTATATCTCAGATATAGGTGGTGTTCAATTTCTAGAACACAACACCTGAGAAATTCTCATACAGGTGCAAATGATCTATTCCCTGTCATGTGACACAGTGCCAGAATTTCTCTGTTTTCACATGTGAGGTGATATCACTTTTCTTGTGTCTTTATAAAGTGTAGTGTAGTACTTTTGACCTACAAATTCACTATTAATCTGTTTCACTATTTCTATATGATGAATCCCATTTCTTTTGAAAGCATTGTATACAGTTGTGTGCTAGTGTCAATAAAATTGACATTTGTATAACAAGCTGTGGCTTTTCTCTGAGATTTCACAGAGCAATGACTTAGTGTGGAACTATGGGTTAATTGTTGCCAGCTATAATGATAAAAATATAAATCCTTATTGAGGAAAAATACTAGTTTGGCTTTACTATATAATGGAGTTCATAAATGCCATGGTTACACAAACCAATAACTTCTTAATTGATTTTATTCTTAAAGCAGTGAGAAATACAAAATCTGCTAGGATGGGGGAAAATATTTTAGCAATGAGGCCTCCCAGAAGAGAAATATATTGCACTCCTCCCATTGGTATTTATGCATCACTGCCTTTATTCACCAGAATGTCTCAGTTATGTTGTAGTAACAAGAATAGACAGTTAAGTAATATACCCTAGAAAATACATAGATGTACTCACAATGAAAAGTCTGACCTTAAATACGTAAATAGGCAAACATTTATTTCAGCTTTTACCAGTGATTAACCTTTGTAATTGATAGCTCGTTAGGTTCTCTGTTGAAGGTTTTAAAGTGTGAAGCCAAAACAAAACAATATGGGTTTTAAATATTCTGTCGTTTCAAAGATCCTTAGCTGTATCAGGTTTAACATTCAATGACATTTCTTTAGCTTAATTGGGATGACACAAAGATTTTTGGCAGGCTGTTTCATTTGCACAGTCAGCACCCTGGCTGCCTTCCAATAGACAAAACGCTAATTCCAACATTATTTAATGTAATATATCATAACCCACAAATGTGTGATTAACTATATATATTTTTACTACACAAAAGGCTTTATATAACTCTGGTAATCTAAAATTGTCTTGTTTGTGCATTAAAAATAATGCTTTTATGTGTAAACATAATGCTAGTGTTTCCATCCCAAACAATCAGAGGAGCATGGAATGACCCTGCAACGTGTAATGTATGTACTCCTGTTGTGTGTAGAGGTGGGGAAGTAGTAGTTTTCCCACTCTGTGTTAGATGTGACTGATGTTATATAGTACAATAACTTCAAAGAAAATCCTGAGGGGGGTTGGTTTTTTGGATTTCGTTTTGCTTTTGTTGTTTGCTTAGACTTCCTTTACATGCATTTGTTACATAATTAGTCTTCTGTAGCTCCCAATGAAGTACTGTAAGTGATTTGCTTAGTTGGGTATCCTGATATAGGAGGGAGAGCAGCAGTCATACATCAGCTCACTTATTTTGTCTATTCTATTTTAAACTAATAGTAAAACCAAGAAAACTGATCTAATCTATGCATCCTTTGTCATGAGTGAATTACTGTGGCAAAGAACACATCATAAATGTGATGGTTAGTCTGAAATGTATACTGCTGAAGTACGTGCACTCTGATCACACTGGTTTCACAGGAGCTATAATTCACCTAGTTCTCCTAGTTTTATTAACTAAGAGAACAATTGGACCAGATTCTCCAGTTGATACAAACAGAAGTAGCTCCACTGAGTACAGTGAAGTTAGGTCCATTTATACCAGGCAAGGATCTGGCCTCTTGGTTTACCTAATTTTCCACCTTTGTGCTTTGTAAGATTCTAACTCTTTTTTTAAACTGCCAAGAGAGATCCTGTCCTAACTGTGACTTTTATTGTATTGTTTCTTTAGCAGGCTCTCTGACTGGCAGCCCTCACCTTTCAGAGCTTTCCATCAATTCCCAAGGAGGACCGCCACTGGCAAATACATCGTTATCTCCAAACCTGAGCCCTGATGCCAAGCAGTCCTCTCCACTGATCAGCCCACTGCTGAATGACCCATCAGGCATAAGGACTGATGATGAGGAAGAGGTCAGGAGAAAGGTATTTATGGTTGAATACACCCTGTTCCTCTGGACATTGTTTAGATTGCTGGAAGGATGGCTTGAGGCTAGCAGCCAGACCCCTGCAACTCTCCCTGCCCCACTCCCTTCATTTGAGTGAACAATAAAGGATTTTTTTCATGAGAGGGGCAAAGAGCTAATATTGAAAATGTACAAGTGCTCACAAAAAGCCTGAGAGCAGTCATTTATCTTATTGTCTGGTGTATCCAACCATAACTTGTAGGCTGTCCAACAGCATCCTCTTGCTCTGTTTGAAGCCATTGGCAAAACTCCCATTGTTTTCAATGGGAAAGAATTGAGCCACAAAATAATTTGCTTCATTGCAGCCTAATCAAAAATCCACAGAAGTCAGAGACCATTTGGTTTCAAAGGCCTATGGCTGTGGCTCTGCAAGTCTATTTTAATAAGGTCCAAGATTATAAACCAAGTGTGTTTTAGAGAGAGTTTGTAATGGTCTTTTTTAATAAAGTGCTCAACTTGACTATAACAAGAGTTCACCTGACATGGTAATGGGGCTTAAAGAAAAATTAGTGAACATGAGCCAGGCTGCCCAAGCTACAGCCCTCCATGGTGACTTCCTTAACGGCGCATATGTTAGGAACTAAAAAAAGCTCTCAATGAGCCATACCCTGTGAATTTGTTAAACTGAGGGTGTGTTTGAATTGGCCCTGTGACTATTGGGCGAGGACAGGGGTCTCTGCCCCACCCCAGGCACCCTTGGGGTTTCCCAGTTCTTGCTCAGCCTACACTGTTTCCCTTGCTGGCCACCTGTTGCATTGCAAGGGAGGGTAGATAAACTCTGATGTGTCCACTATCTGCTTCTTTGATGAACTGTGACAGTCTTAGGAAGAGCACATTTGCTCCCCTTGATCACCTGGTGTGTTCAAGAAAAGATTGTTTCTCCCTCACGTATTTACCTAAAGGCATGTAGAAAGAAGGGAGAAAGGAAGAGAATTTGGGAACCAGCAACCAGCTTCCTGTTTCTTTACCCTATCCCAGATTAGGGCAGCCTATTGACTGCTCTAGCTTATGCCAGCTAGCAGTGGTTGCCTCAAGATCATGTACTGAGTAGGGAGGGTCCAACAGCAGTGAACTGTATCCCTGCCTATGGAAAATCTTCTATAGCAAAGGCTGTTAGGAGAGAAGCAAGGACTAAGAGATTTGTAAATGTTTTCATATAATCATAGAAAAGTAGGGTTGGAAGGGACCCCAAGAGGTCATCTAATGAGTCCAACTCCCTGCTCAAAGCAGGAACTTCCCCAACTAGATCATCCCAGGCAAGGCTTTGTCTACCCCGGTCTTAAAAACCTCCAAGGATGGAGATTCCACCACCTCTCTGGGTAACCTGTTCCAGTGTTTTACTACCCTCCTAGTCAGAGAGTTTTTCCTAATATCTAACCTAAACCTCCCTTCCTGCAACTTGAGACTATTACTCTTGCTTCTGTTATCTGCCACCACTGAGAAAAGTCTAGCTCAAGGGTGGGCAAAGTCCAGCCCGGGGTCAGATAAGGCCTGCAGCAGATTCCATTTCCCAGCAGCCCCTGCCTGCGTTGCTGCGACTGGTTTCCATGGAGACTTCTGCAGCAGCAGGGCTGTGACAGCACGGGGCCAGGGTTTTCATGGAGACCAGGCCCAGCAGCAGTGTCAGGACACGTGGCAAGGCAGGGAGCTGCTCCAGGGCCGGGATCTTGCAGTGATGACAGTGTGATCTGGAGCTGGGGCAAAACTGTGATCTGCTGCCAGCATGCCCCAGGCAGGGGCATGCTGGCAGCAGATCACAGCTCCACTTCAGCTTTGGAGCACGCTGTCTCTGCCGTAAGATCCCAGCCCAATCCCTGGAGCAGCTCCCTGCCTAGCCATGTGCCCTGCCAGCACAGCTGGGGCTGGTCTCCTTGGAAACTCTGGTCCCGTGCTGTCTCAGCCCCGCCACTACTGGGGTCACCATGAAAACTGGCTGTAGGGACACAGGCAGGGGCTGCTGGGAAATGGAGTCGGGCTGCCGGCTGAATCCACCATTTTGCCCACCCCATTTTGCCCACCCCTGGTCTAGCCTCCATCCTCTTTGTAACCATCCTTGAGATATGTGAAGGCTGCTATTAAATCCCTCCTCAGTCTTCTCTTCTCCAGACTAAATAAGACAGATTTCCACAGCCTCGCCCCATAAATCACGTGCCCCAGCCCCCTAACCATTTTTGTTGCCCTGTGCTGGACTTGCTCCAATTTGTCCACATCCTTTCTGTAGTGGGAGGAGCAAAACTGCACACAGTACTCCAGATGTGGCCTCACCAGTACTGAATAGAAAGGAATAATCACTTCCCTCAGTCTGCTGGCAATGCTCCTACTAACACAAATTACTAAATTTGCTCCTATTACTATATTTCCTTTCCTTTTAGTCACTGGAGCATAAAAAAGGGAGCAAAACAAAGCACAGAAGCTCTGACCGGCCATGTGACCTTTGAAAATAAGCTGTTGGCCCAGAGGTGCTCTAAGCTAGATTTCTCCATTGATGATGCTACTAATTTTACCTGTTACAAAACTCTGGAAAGAATTTCTCTGAAGTTTGAATTCTACATTTTTGCCTTGTCCTACAACTCTTAACCTACAGTCTTCCTATCCCATTAGAAAAAAAAACCCTAAATTTGGAATTGTAGACAGTATTCTGCAGTATTGTTATGACAAGGAAAGTATTGACATATGAGCACTAATATATAAGTGACATCAGCTCTCTGTGATGAATACATGTTTTCCATTTGTTAAAATATGTCATAGTGGGCTCAGATTGCTACATGCCTTTCTGCCTGAGCTTCAAAATATGGCCTGCTCTGGAAATGTGAAATATGCTAAGAAGCACAGCAGAAATAACTGGTTCTTAGAAATAATTGTGGTAGTAAAGAAAAAATAATAATTCTAGAATTCCTAAAAAAGTAGCTTATTCTTTTGTGTTTGCAAGGATATTCTTCAGTAATTTTTTTAGGACTGTGCAAATAAGTCAGAATAATCACAAGCAAGACTCACTAATGACATCCTGGTGTCCTATTGAATGTTGCCTGCAGCCTTTTTTTTAGCTGCAAGTTACAGCCCTATAACAGCTCATCAAAATGTTCTATTTTATTCACTTTTCAGAGGTGTCCAGCTGACAAAGCTTACTTTATTGCTAAAGAAGTAGCCACCACTGAACGAACGTACCTTAAGGACCTCGAAGTCATCACATCGGTATGTTTACCTTAGCATTACTTGTGAACCACATGGTTGTGTAGTCAGCTATAGTATTTGGTCTTCCCTGTCTGCTCTCACATGTTCTAAGGCACTCTCATTTTTCTGGAATGATTTTTTCTTCATAGATTTCATAGGCATTAGGGCTGGAAGGGACCTTGAAGATCATCAAGTCCAGCCCCCTTCCCCAGGGGAAGGAAGTCAGCAAGGGCAAAGGATCCCAGCAAGATAAGCGTTGTACATTTTCTCTAGTACACAAGGCATATAGTCCCAGGGAAGAGGGAATTTCAAAAATTAGAGAGGAGGCAGAAGGTAGAAATTTGCCATGCTTCATACCATGACATTATTCCAAATATAGGAACTTAAAACACAATTCAGTTACTTTCTTTTACTCTCAAACCCTATGGCTTTAATTGGAAGGTCACAGAAATGTTTGGTAATGGACTCTTCTGGGGATTTATACTTTTGTTTTTTCCTACAGATTTCATTGCCTTTGTTAAATCTGGAAGAAGTTCTAGCGTCTATTAGAATTTCTTTTTTTTTTCTGTAAGCAGCTAAAGAAAATTTACTAAATAGCTTGTTATGCTGTAACCTTTTAGAATTGGAACAAAAATTCTGTTCCACCTCTACATATATTCCTATTGATTTATTAGCTTCTTTTATTAATTTAAATGCATTTTTCCATGAGTAGGGCAAGCAAGATATGGCCTGAAATGATAACCTCTAATGACCCACTGAAAGCTGCTTTAACAAAAGTTTTAAGTGTAATAGCTGCAAGAGCACCATTTTTTCTTCTTGCCTTAGCTGTTCTTGCTGGAAGAACAGAGTTGGGTGGGATCCCCTCTATTCTGGACCTGGACCAACATAAAATTATAATAAATTAAAATTAAGCTATTTTCTTCTTTTATTTGAAACAGCCTCTAGCAGCCTCTGTAGGTCAGTCAAAACTAGCTGGTGTGCAGTGATCACTGAAGGAGGGAGTTGGGTCATCAAATTGTGTATATAGCATAAGCCATTTAAGACAGCCACAGACAACAGCCATTCAAGTCATGCAAATACCTGCTATTTGCCAAGCCCAGAGTGCGCACTACTTGTGGCTAGAGCAGCGCTCCATGGTGGCTCTGATGCATGAGGTTGGTGTGTGGGCCCACTTTGAGCTAGCTTCAGATCCAGTATGCGGGGATGATCTGGTACAGGTACCACATGCAGTGCACAATCAGCCTTGCATGCCATGTGCATTGCATGCCAGATCAGCTCCATGTACCACATAGAGTATGGGTAGTCCAAGACCCACAGGCAGCACTGTGGAAGGGATGATAGGGCTCCCTTGGCTTGATCTGGCCTATAGGCCAGATCTTTGACACCTCTGGATTACAGTAATTGAAGCATCTTGAGTAATTTGTACTGAAATAATGTGGTTCAGATGTTGGCACTTCTCACATGCTCAGCTTCTGCTTAAGTGTTTGTACCTCTTTAAGGCTTGTTACTGTAATCAAAGCACAGACAAATGCAATTGTTCACTTAAACTGTTTACTTAATTTATATGCTATGCAGAGGTGTCTGTGCAGTGGGTGCACCAACAGATATGTCTAGTATGATTCTGGTCAGAGGAAAGGATGGGCTGTAGTCTCACAACTGAAGCCACTCCATGTAGCTCCACTCCTCCTGGTCCCTGGGAGGAGTTAAGTTTCATTAAGTGAGCAGATGCTCGTTCTCCTGGGAGAAACTCTCCCAGGAGTGATTTGTATCTTGTTGCTGTCAAGTTATTTTTTCCCAGAACCACCATTTTTGCTCTGGGTGAAAAAGCTGGAATATCTATACCAGTGTTCCTCAGCCAGGGGGCTGGGGCACCCTGGGGTGCTGCACAACCCCTTGAAGCATTCTGTGAGATCTGAGAAAAGCCAGGTGTGAAGAGATAAGCAGATTAACGCAGGCTTGGGCTCAGGCTCAATCCCTGCCTGGCCATTCCCCTGCCCATACTACCTGGCCTATCTGCAATGGTATAAGCACTGTAATAAATTAGTTTTTGAAACAGGATGCTACTCAATGCACAAAAGTTATGGTTGGGTGTGTTGAGTCTGTTGAGGGTCATCTTGGTCTAAAAAGGTTGAAAACCACTATTCTATATACTTGTGGTTTCTCCTGGGAAAGCAGAAATTCTCCTGGTGGAAACAGAATGTATATATGTGGTTTAAGTCTTATCGGTGTAAGTACTATTCTGAATCCAAGCCAACCTTCAGTACTGCCCAAGGCAGCTAGGTTGGGTCATTTTGTGTAGGTGAAGTACAAATACACACTACACAGCCATCTGTGCCCCTGATCTTTCTCTTTTATAACATTGTTCCCTGTTTCTAGTGGTTTCAGAGTGCAGTGAGTAAGGATGACTGTATGCCAGAAACACTGAAAAATCTCATATTTTCCAACTTTGAACCTTTGCACAAATTTCATACCAGTTTTCTCAAGGAAATTGAGCAGAGACTTGCTCTGTGGTAAGTCTGTTTATGGCTATTACTTTACACAGTTAAATGTTTTCCATGTTTCACTACTGTAACACTTGCTCCATATGGGTTCATTGTCATGGTTCATATGGATGAATCAAACAATTGTTTGTTAACAGAGTATATAAAGAAGACTCACTTTGTTCTAATTCAGTTCATAGCTTTTGTAATTCAGATTTTTAAGGACTATACCCACATCGAAATTAGATCCTACAAACTGGTAAAACTTCTTGGTTTCAAATGTTATTGTTTCTGTATAGTACCTTTTATGATATAAGTGCAATGAACAAGTCTTGACCAGTAAGGAGGGAGATGGAGGACCATATCCTATATCCTTTTGAGTAAGTAGCAGCCTGATCAGGATGATAATTAGGAATTCTATAAAGTAGTTGTCTGCTCTAAAGCACATCTGATCTGTCATTAGCAGGACATAAGGATGTCATCCACAACAGCTGTAGATCTAGAAGAGACATTATTGTTCTTAAAAGCAATCCACTTCACAGGATTAGGAATGGATGATTATACAATATATCTATATAGAGGTATAGCTATAGCTAGAGAGCTCTATAGAGAGAGAGAGAGAGAGAGAGAGAGAGGGAGAGAGAGAGAGAGAGCGAGCGAGAGCTATATATAGGTATAGTTATATAGCTATATAGAGCGCTCTCTCTCTCTATTTATATATATATATATATATATAGATCTCTCTCTCTCTAGCTATAGCTATATCTCTATATAGATAATAGAGGTCTCTATATATCTATATAGGTATATAGAGACCCTATATCTATATGGTAGATATAGATATATTTGTCCAATGGAACAGTGCTGGTTCTGAGAAATGATTATCCAAAGAGTAACTTTTTACAGGCAGAGTTCTAATTCATTGTTCTGACCATGGAGATCTTCCTGGGATGAAAAGCTACTGCCCTACATCTTTGAGCTGATTACATTCCCGTGAAGAGGTGTTGGCTGCGGTTTTGTCATTGAAAGGGGAGAGAGCCCACCTGTTCCTTCTCAATTGGAAAAGAGTGAGCAGACTATGAAGGGAAAGGAGACCTTGGAATTTTACAGTCAGATTTGATGAATGCTAATCAGTGTAATACGTATTTATTCAACTAATCAAAAGCAGACAAAAGCAAACATAATCTTAGCATGATTGAGTCTTGTGGAAGTAAAAGACTATAGCCCTAGATGACAGCTTAATATGAATGGAATGGACTAATGTTGTGCAAACTCACTGCACCCAGTTCTGCAGTATACCTGTGTTTTAACCTGCAACAGAGGCTGTCTGTTAAAGGCTGTTAAACTGCATGGTAATTTTTGTGGTATTGGTAATATCTTTTGTTAGAGAACTGAATATGCTTACCAAGCCAACTTTTTATAAAACTGCATTGTTTTCTGTTGCATGGACCATTTTAAAATAAAAAATTTATTTGGGGGGGGGTCTAAATTATTCTTGCAGAGAAACTGAGTATCAACATGTCTTTACATACCCAGTAAATTATTCCATTTAATAACTCATCAGGCTTCTCAGCTGAAACGTTGGAGTGTTACTTGACATGATCCCATGTCTGAGGCATGTTTAGCTCTGTGCATTGTATAGAAATCTTACTTTTCTGTGGCATAGTACTTTTGTACTTCTGGCATCTAGAATGTGTCAGACTTGTCATAAGAAAAGCATTGAAAAAATTACAAAGAATTGTGGAGAAGGAAAATGAATCTGGCCCTATATATTTAGATGCCAGTCCAGAAAGCACCTCTTGAAACAAACATCTGCTTCTGACCAGAGTTTTTACTGTGCATGCCAAATATCTGTATGGCTATCAGTCTTCCTACAGATGGATTACACTGTACTAACAGCATACCTTGAAAATGATGGATGCCAGGCCAACAGAGTGCATTTGGTACTAGAAAGTGTCATAAGACCTCATGTGTCTGATTTTGCAATCATGTTTTGATTGTCAGATATAAAAGGTTTATTATATTTCTAAAATCATTGAATGCTAGTTTGGATTCCCTTAGTTCCATACAGAGAGATGGCCCGTAAATACCCTCCACCCAAATCTGCACCCAAACTCAGGGATTTTTTTGGCCAGCAGTTCCCATGCAACCTGCATAGACTTTCTGCTTCTCACTGAGGGCATAAAGAACGAATACACTTAGTTTGTCTCAGTTCCTCTCATCTTCTCAGTTCCTTGAAACTTGACAGAGCTTCTTGCTGTCTGCTTCAAGCTACTGGAACATTTTTCTGTGATTTCTCTAACAACTTGAGAAAGTTTTACTAAACAGCATATCAGTTTTACCTTGTTGTCTACTGGAAAACTTAGCTTCTTTATTATAAAAAAAAAAAAAGTTTGGACCCAGAATTATGCCCCCAAGGTCATTTGGGTTCAAGTCACCTCTCTCATAACAGGACAGTTCCAGTTAATGTTGGGCATTCGAGTGCATCTACTCCCCAGGAGAATCCCACATCCCAGGAAAATGTTCAGATGACTCCTACAATGCACAATGGGCTTGTTAAGGTGGGGGTGCACCAGTTTTCCTCTCTCAAACACCTGTGGCCTTGAGAGTTCTGTTGTCCCCAGAATAGTGCAAGGAGACTGCAGACACTTAAATCAGAGCCCCTTTAACTCCTCCTTTGCCTTCAAGAAACATGTCTAACCTGCACTTAACATTTTCTGGGTATGGAGGCTTCAGAGCCTCTGTAGGTAATGTTACTATTCATATTCAGCTTGAAATCAACCCTCTGGTCCTTTTCTCCAGCACTGCAGCTGACTCATTCATTCCCCATTTTGTGTTTGTGCTTTTGATTGGTCCATCTTTGTATTTTCTTTATTCAGTTTCACCCTGTTTATTTCAGACAGTTTTTCCAATGTATCCTCATCACCTTAATTCCTAATTCTGTCGCATGTACTAAGTGTGAACTCAGTTTTTTGCCCTCAGAGTCGTCAGTGAAAATCTTGAATAGAACTGGCCTCAGATTAGAGCCGTGGAGACCCACGCTTGATGTCTCTGGTTTGACACTGAGTTGTAGATGACACTATAGCCCTCTTTATAGCAGTTTCATAAAAGCCAAGGCTGCCTGACTGGCATACACAAATCCTACAGGCAATTAATTTGCAGCCTGCAAACTCCCCCCTGAGGACCACTTCCCCCATTGCTGCTACTGCATCTGGGATCCCTGGGGTCCTGCTTCCTCATCCAGCTTCTGCTTACTGGCTCTTCCCCTTACCACCCCCCCTCCCCAAAAATGGGCTATGGTCTGGGTAGTGGGGGGATCCAGGAAGCCCAAGGCATATTTTCTGCTCTTCACTATTTCCTTGTATCATGTTCTGAAACGCTCCTTCTGGCACATTGCATTGAAGGAAGGCTTCAAAAACTTAAGCGAAATATTTAAAACTTAGTTCCCTGCTGTAAATTGTTTCTAGGTACAGGTTGTAGCAGATCATCCTGTGCAGGTAGTGTTTGAGAACTGCTTTAGGAAGGAATATAACAGACCTCCTCACAGAGTAGATAGCATAA